GCCATCAGGGCCAGGTGATCTAGAGGTGTCTTCTGGGCAGCAACTGCAAAAATCAGGGTGCCAGATGAGGGCACAAGCTCCTTTCAGGGAGATAGTGGTGAGCTGGAGCAAGGCAGAGGGAGAGTGCAAAGACGGTGCCCATTGGCCTCTGTCTTTGGGAAGTATTTCAGCAAGCCCCTAGGCATGTGTTAAATTTGACATCTGCCCGTCAGGCCAATGCTTTAGGATAAGCAAATGAGCCTCTTTCACAGGAAGTCTGGGCACTTTTCAGTCAACTGCCTTTGTGCTGGGCTCTGGGGTGGATGAATCTGTGCATGAGAACCCTTTAAGAACTGTTCCTCAGTTTGCAATAGCCTTGTGAGTCTTATGTACCCAAGACCATTGGTTTTCAATGCTAGATGTTTTGGGGGCTTATCTCTCAAGTTCAGGTCTTAAATGATGCCTAGTGTGGAGTTCAGACTCTTTATTCCTCACGGAGAAGCTCGGGGTTTTGAGTTCCCTCCCAATTGTGGGTTGCTGCACCACGGGTGGGGTTAATGGCAAAACTGTGTCTCAGCTTCTCCTACCCCCTTTGATGTGGATTTTTTTTTTCCTATTTGGCTGATGCATAGGAGTCATTTAGCTAGTTTTTGGTTTGCTTTTTGTGTTTGTTTATTTTTCCCCCAGAGGAAATTGTTCTGCAGGTAGCTGTAGATTCAGGGCATACATGGAAAGGAATAAGTTCAATATCTTCCTCCTGCCGTCTTGAAATGGAATCCCTGGTCCTCTCTCTTCATTCTTATCTTTTTGATGTGCACTTTCCACTTTGACCCTTGCTGGAGGCATTCTTTTCAGTGCCACAGTTTCACTTTTGTTTCCCATCTCCTTTTCACCATTACACTGATTATTACACTGATTTCTGCCCCTTTATGTTTATATTTCCTTCCCTCTTGTTCCTTTGGGTTTGTGTTCCTTCTTTCAGCTCTGTCTACACAAGTAGAATTCTTGTGTCAGTTGCTGTATTTATTAGTTTGCTAAGGCTACTGTGACAAAGTACCACAGATCGGACTTGCCTAAGCACAGAAATGTATGGTCTCACAGTTCCAGACGCTAGAAGTCCAAGATCAAAGTGTCCGTGGGGTTGGTTCCTTCTGTTGGCTGTGAGGAGAATCTGTTCTGTGCTTCTCCCCTAGCTTCTTGGGGCTTGCTGGCAATCATTGGGGTTCCTAGGCTGGTATGCATATCACCCTGATGTCTGACTTTGTGTTCACCTGGCATTCTCCCTGTGTGATCATCTTGTTTTCCCTCTTGGTGTCAATATTCAAATTTCCCCCTTTTATAGGAAAATCACTCATATTAGGGGTCCACCCTACTCCTGTATTGCCTCACCTTAACTAACTACTTCTGCAATGACCCTACTTTCAAATAAGGTTACCCTCGGAGGTTCTGGGGAATTAAGATTTCAACATTTGAATTTCAGGAGCAGGGGCCCAATTCAACGTTTTGTTGATGGTTAATTGTATGTGTCAACCTGGCTGGACCATAGCGCTCAGATATTTACTCAACCATCATTCTGAATATTTCCTTTGAAAGGCACTCTTAGATGAAAATAACATTTAATTGGTAGATTGAGTAAAGCAGATTACCCTCCATAATGTGGGTGAGCCTCATTCAGTCAGTTAAAGGCCTGAATAGGACAAAGGCTGACCTCCCCCGTGCAAGAAGGAATTCTGCCAGCACATGGTCTCTGGTCTGGATCTGCAGTTCTTTCCTGAGCCTCCAGCCTGCCAGTCTGTCCCATCAGATTTTGGACCAGCCAGGCCTCCATAATCACACAAGTCAATTTGTTAAAATCTGTCTCTCTCCCTCTCTCTCTGTTAATTTTTGTTTCTTGATAAGTATATTTAAATATATAATTTCCCTCTATGCATTGCTTTAGCTGTGTCCCACAATTTGGTATCCAATCTTACTATTTCTTCATTTTTTAAATGATTACTTTTTACTAATATGTTTGAAAATGTACAAGATTTTAAAATATTTTTTGTTAATGTATATTTGCATTGCCTTTTGGCTAGAGGGTATGTTCTGGATCATACTGAGCCCTTGGAATTTGGTCAGGTTTCCTCCTGGCCCAGTATATTTTTATAAGTGCTCCTTGTATGCTAAAATAGACTCACTCAGGCTTATTAACTTTATTGCCCAGAGATTCTATATAGCCACTTATTTTTATCTGTTTAATGTACTGGTTCTGAGAGAGTTTTAAAAATCTCCAATACACTTGTTTATTTCTCCCTGCAGTTCTATCAACTGTTAGCATATATATTTTGAGGTTATATTGTTAGAGGCACATATGATGATACTTACATGATTGATTCTTCCATCAGTATTTAATGTCCATCATTGCTGTTTATGATATTTTCCCCTTGGTTTCCATTTTATTATAAAGTCACTATTTTTGCTTTCCTTTTTTGAAAATTATATGGAATTTCTATTATTATATATTTCCAGTGTTCCAGTGTTTTTAAGTTGTGTGTAAATAATCTATGGTCAAATTCCTTTTTTCAATTCTGAGAGTTCTCTCTTTTACTTGATAAGTTTAACCTAATTACAGTTATCATTATTTTCATCTTATTCCATAGTTTCCACTTACTATGGTTTCTTCTTGTCTCATTTATAGTTTATGTCCATTTTGAGTTAGTTTTTGTATGAAGTGTGAACTTGAGATTGGGTTTCATTTTTTGGTCTCTGACACCCCACTGTGCCAGCTTCATGTGTTGAAGAGGCTCGTCTTCCTCCATTGAATTGCTTTTGCAGCTTTGTACAAAAATCAGACCACTGTAGTTGTGTGTTTAACTTATACCTAAGCACTTCCTTTTCTTTAGGGTGCTTGAAAGTGGTATTGTGTTTTTACTTTTTAAAAAAAGTTTTTTAACGTTTATTTATTATTGAGACAGAAACAGAGCATGAGTGGGGGAGAGGCAGAGAGAGAGAGAGGGAGACACAGAATCCGAAGCAGGCAACAGGCTCTGTCAGCACAGAGCCCAATGCGGGGCTTGAACCCACGAACAGTGAGATCATGACCTAAGCCAAAGTCGGACGCTCAACTGACTGAGCCTTCTGGGTGCCCCTGTGTTTTTACTTTTGATATCACATACTCACTGTTGTTATAGAGGAATGCAATGGATTTATGTGTGCTGCTTATTTATTTTCATTCTCCTTCTTTGCTTTCTGTTGGACAGATCAAGTTTTCTTGCGTTGATTTAAAAGATGTATCTTTGTTCTTGTTTTGTTTGCCCTTAGGACCATCCTGGAGATTTTGGATATGTGTTTTCATAAGTCTCACTAGCTTCACTAGGAAGCAGGTCAGTAGATCTCCTTGTGCTGTCATTCCAGAACTCTCTCACCCTTGCTAGTTAACCAGCTCTACCAAAAACTTGCCTGGGGCAAGACGGCCAGCAGCTGTCACTCCCAATCCATTACATACACTATAAGTGTCATGGATGCTGGCTTAGCGGTCTAATCACCAGGTGGCTCTGGCCCTGGGCCTGGCTTCCTCCCACTCCCCAGCCATCCCATCTACCCCTTTGCCAAGCATCAGTCAGAAGATGGGTCCTGCAGGCCCCTGCTCAGACGCGCCTCTACTCTTGTGCTAGCGACAGAGATTACTCCATGGGTCCTGGGGTCTCTCCGGCCTGTAATTAGCAGCTGTGGTTCTGACAAGCTGGGTATAATCACAAGTCAGGGTCTCCTTCACTATCAACTCACTTGTGCTGTCCTTTTGGAGGTGGCTAGTCTTCATTCTCATTGTGCCTATCCAAGCAAAAATGGCCTTTAAAGGTCATCTGATTCAGTGGCTTTCAACCCTAGTTACACTTTTAAATAACCTGTGGAGTTTTAAAAATATCAATGTGTGGGTTCCCCGCTCTAAGTCAGTTAAACCAGAATCTCTGAGGGGGTAACCAGACCTAGATGTTTGTTAAAATTCCCCAGGAGGCTTAAACATACAGCTAGAATTGAGAACTGTTTAATGCTATCACTCAATCCCTTTATTTTACCAATGCCCAGAGAAGAAAACAGCTTGGCCACAGCAGCACAGAGAGCTAGATTAATTGTATGATTTTAAGCTAATTGTTTCAGTTTCGTGTCACCTCTATCCCTTTTCATCAAGTACATCCACACTTATTTCTCTGTCTCATCCAGTTATGTCTGTAAGGCTGAGTCACGAAAGATCTTCTTACTTACTGCTATTTATGATTGTGTGTGAATTTTTTTTTTTTGAGAGACGGAGAAAGGAGGTGGGGGGGATATTAAGTGAGCTCCACACTTAGCACAGAGCCTGATACGGGGCTTGATACCATGACGCTGGGATCATTACTTGAGCTGAAATAAAAAATCAGACACTCAACCAACTGAGCCACCCAGGCGCCCCTGTGTCAAATTGTTCTTAAACAGCTTCCCCAACTACACTGTGAGCTCATTCTGAGCTAAACCAGCACCTTCTGAGTCTCTGGCTACTTCCCCCATTGGGCGGATAATGGCCTCCAGGCCCAGCAAGGGCTCAGCACAGCTGCCCTCCAGGAACTGTGGAGAATAGACAGTAGCACAGGGGGTTTGGGAGGCAGACCCAAATCTGAATCCTGATTCCACCATGTAACCCCTCCTAATCTTCCATTTTCCCCTATGCAATACGAGTTTAAAACCTCTACGTTCATTGTTGGGTTTACCGTAAAGCTCTGGCTTCTAGACCTCTGTTTTGTGCCATCTCCTTCCAAAGTCCTGGGAGGGGCTCTCACAGTTCTGTGGTCACAGTTTTCATTCTTTTTCATAAAGAGAAAAAGGGGGCCCCCGTGCCCCCGCCAAATGTTATCAGCCTCGGACCCCACCACATTTGGATCTGCTCTTCCCCACCCCGGAGAGCAGAATACGACTGTGTTCATAAAGTGTGGGACATGCAGTAGACGTCCACAAATGTTACTTCCCTCCAGAACGACCCAGAAAAGGGATGCAAAGAGAGACAGAACTGTGGCTGATGTGCTTGTTACATGTCCCCTTTAATGTCTCAAATGTTCCCCTTCGGCAATGCAGCCCCCATTTCTCAAGCAGCCTCTGGGCTCCAGACGCAAGCCTGAGGGACGCTAAGGCACCCGGGCCTCCAGGGAGGCCTCCTCAGCTCTAATGTGGCCGTGGATCCAGTCAAGGTAGCGGCTGACTTTGGTGTAAACGCCGTAGTTGTGGAGGCGCCCGCAGCCCTCGCCCCAGCTCACCAGGCCCACCAGGAACCAGGTGCCGCGGAAGGACACAACCATAGGCCCCCCACTGTCGCCCTCGCAGGCGTCCTGCGAGTCCCCAAGGGTGCCCGCGCACAGCATGTTCTCAGAGATCATGTTGTGCATGGCCTTGATGCACTCGTTTTGAGGGACCACGGGGATCTTGATGAAGTTGAGGACGAAGGTGCGGTTTCTCTTGATCTCGCTGCGGTAGCCCCAGCCGGTCACCACCGTCTCCTGGCCCACCCGGGTGAGCTCGCGCTCCGCGAGGCCGCTGTCCGGGAGGCAGATGGGCACGATGGTCTGGGAGAGCATGGCGGGCTGCGACAGGCGCAGCAGCGCGATGTCGTTGTCCGACGTGCCTTTGCTGTAGTTGGGATGGATGAAGACCTCCTTGATCTCCAGCTCCACCTCCCACTTCTCGCGGCGCCGCAGGTCATACTCCCCTGTGGAACAGGCGGGGCAGCACAAAGGTCACAGCTGGAGCTGAGGCGCTCTGCACTGCACTGTCGGGGTGCCATAGCCAGGGGTAACGGCTGCGGTGTCATTCTTAAAGGGGCGGAATGCTGGTTGGACTTCAGGGCTCGCTCACAGATGGAGCAGTGAGTGACCAGGGAAGCCGGGGACACAGCGGAGCCACAGAGGGCCCCGGGGGCTACTGCGTGCAGAGACACGCCGCTCCTGCGGCACTGCCGGCCTGAGAACGAGGCAGCGACAAGCTGGGGGGGCGGGGAGGGGACAGAGGGCAAGAGCAGGGAGATCCAGAGAGAGAACCAGCAGGACACGGGTTCCGCTGGGGAAGAAAGATCTGGATCACACACCAGAGCAAGGCCGATGGGCGCGGTAGGCGCAGTGTGGGGAGCTGGAGATTCTGAGCCCAGCACCACTGGAGGCCACTGGCAATTGATTGTGTTGCAGACAATTGTAGGCAATGTGAATCTGGTCATTCTCAATACAACTTTTCCTTCCGTTTTGCATAAACAGTGGAGAGCCCCCTGCAGAAACTGGTACAGAGTGGGGGGAAGGGGGGCGGGGACCACGCAGCTGCCTTGGTGTGGCTGATGCCAGTGTCTCCATTGCTCAGCTCCATCCTTATTGGTCTGCATGAAGCATGACCCTAGGGCCCGGCCATGTAGATACCTTGTGGGTGTCTGCACCTGACAGTGCTAGATGTCCACACAGCCTGCTCCATGTGAGTGGGAGTGAAGACGCATGTGTGTGAGAGAGAGAGAGAGACACCCCTCACTTTGCAGACACATGTGTGTAAGCACCTGGACACCAGATCTGAAGAGAATCCCCACCTGCCCAATACCAGGTGTCACTGTGTCTCAAATCCCACCGCGGGGGTGGCTCTGTTCGGGGAGCACTGGGCCTCCTCTCCCCAGACACCTTCCGTGGAGCTCAAGGAGCCTCTTATCCAGGCATCCCAAAGACCAGGACGCCCACACCTGGCCAGGCTGTCTGGTGCCGCAACCCCCACCCCCCCACCCCCCGAGCCTCCGGGGGCCTCCTGCCTGACTGCCGTCCATACCGAGCCTGACAATGAGCTTCTTCGAGTCCTCCATGCAGTGTGCCGCTGTCAGCACCCAGGAGGTGTAGATGAGCACTGCCCCACATGCCAGCTTCTTCTTGGAGTCCAGCAGGATCACCTGGAATGGGGTGGGCGGTGGTGTCACCACACTGCCCCTGACAGCTCCACGTCAGGGCGCAGGGCTCAGCCCCAGTGTGGTCCCCAGCCTGAGGTGCTAGCCGCATAAGTGGGTCTTTCCTGATCACCTGGTGACCCCTGGACCCACAGCCCTCTGCTGGCATTTCCTACCTCTGCCTGTTTCAGAGTGGGCCTGTAAAGGCCAAGGGCATTTCCCTGCCTTTGCCTTTGCCATTGCTGTACTTATCCTCAGCAGCACCTAGCGGGTTCTGCTCACCCTTGGGGCTCAGGCTGGGACTCAAGTCCCCTGAGAAGCCTTTGAGGCCTGAAGGGGTATCCCTTAGGGTTCCACCAGCCCCTGTCATGCTGGCCATCCCGCCTTTGTTCCCATTGAGCCACTGTGTTTAGGGGCCTGACCCTCCCAGGATCTTAGAGCTCCCTAAGGCCTGCCGATCCCCTGCTCATTGATTTCTGTACTGTCTGGTGCCTGGGGCCAAATAAGTGTTCAGACCCACGGGTGAGGCTGGAGACGTATTCAGGGTCAGCTGTCCTTCCCCGCTTTCTCAAAGCAAAATACCTCTCCCGTAGCCGGGCCTCTGCCTCAAATGCCAACGGCCATGCATTATCTTTCCAGCTCTTTATTAAAACGACGAGTTACCTTCCTGTACATCAGCCACATGCCCCTGGGCTGACCCACTGGCCCTGACTGCTGTCCCCCATTAGGTACCTCCAGCTTTTGCTGAAATTGCTTGGCCCCCACCCCAGCACTCCCTCTCCCCATCTGTGCATTCTGAGCAGGAACCCCCAGTAGGAGCTCTGATTCCTCACCCACCCGCTGCTCTTCTCACCTGCCAGGGGCTCTCTCCCCATACCGACAGCTTCCCATTGACGAGCCTTGGGTCTATCTGGTTAGTTTCATTTGTGCTGCGTTTCACCGTCTTGTACTTCTTCACCATTCGCCTCCCTGGCCTCCCACAGGGGAACTTCACTGGAGGTAGGGGGAAGCTGGTGAGCTCCTGCCCGGCACTGCTCCCTGAGACTGCTTCCCCCACCTCCTTTGTCCACATCTTGCCTGCAGGCTACTTTGCCCCACTGTAGGGTAAAAGGGACATGTGATGCTTGGGTACCCAATTACAGTAACCTGCAAATCCCCTCCGTTTGACTCTGGCAAGAGTCGGACCAAGCAGCATCGCCACCTATCAGGTTGTTATACTTCTCAGAATTCAGTATACCAGGGTCATCAGGAGTAATCCCTGAGATACATGTCAAGTCTCATGCTGAGATGCCACCAAGCTCCTAATTATGGGGAGGAGGTGGTGGGCGGTCCTGGAGAGCCCCTAGAGAAGCTCTGAGCACAGTCATGAGGTCCTCTGGCAGCGGGGGAGAGCACATGATGGAGAACTGAAGGCTGGGAGGGCTGCCAGGGTCTGTTCACGATGGACCACACCTGCCAGGCTGAGAGATTTAGACTCTAGGAGCAGTGGACCACCATCAGCAGGGGGACTGCATAGTGGCAGAGAATGGAGACAGACAGCAGCAACAAAATTCCAGAAGCTGGACATGGTAGTGGACTTGGCTATCTGAGAAAGCAAAAATCTCAGCCAGTAATGGGAGATTCTAGGAGCTGACTGTTTTTTTACAGAACACCCCACCCCCACCACCCTGAAGCCTCAGTGCTTCTGAACGACACAGTATATGTAGGACTGCAGACAGGAATGTTGAGTTTGGAAAGGAAACTGCTGAAGCCCTAGACCTGTCCCAACCCCCCAGTGGCATGACTGCAGAAGACCACTCTCTGCACAGGGTGAAGCAGAGACTGTGGACAGCCACAGGAAAGAGTGCTGTGCAGACGGACCAGAGGAAGTCACACAGACATCTGCAGCCAGGCAGATGCCAGGTCCTCCTGCCCACTCTACTGCAGGGGGCCTAGCTCTTCCTTGTTCTACTGGGGGGGGGGGGGCAACTCTTCCCTGCTCTACTCCAGAGGGGCCAGGCTCTTTCCCTCTCTACTCTGGAGGTGGGGGAACCGGACTCTTCCCAGCTGTACTCCAGGGAGGCCTCAACTCTTCCCTGCCCTACTCCAGGTGGGGGGCCACACTTTCCTTGCTCTACTCCGGGGGGGGATGTGGAGGCTCTTCCCTGCCCTACTCTAGGGGGCTAGACCCACCCAAACATGAACCTGGAGGATTTCCCTCAGGAAATGGCCTAAACACCAGAGGGGCTGGAGAGTAGAGATTCTGCCAGTGGCCTGGGCTGTCCAATGGCCTCACAGGAAAGCCCACAGGCCACCAGGTCCACCAGGTATTTCACTGTAAGTTCCTGTGAATCTCTTTTTTCAAAATAAGAAGTTAGACATTTCTTCTAAGTAAAAAGATTGGAATATACAGTTGTGGAAAGTTCCCTGAAAGAAGAACACAAAGTCAAAGAGATGGAAAATAGAAGCGATAATAGAGCTAAAAGAGCAACCCAGAGGAAAAAGATCCGAATAACAGGAGGCCCAGAAAGAGAGAACAGAGAAAGCAGCGGGAGATGATGGAGGGAAGACATAATTAAGGAAATGTGCCCTGAGGCGGAAGATGTGGGTCCACCCAGGGCACTGTAGGACGAATGACACGCTGAGCGAATGGCACGCTGAGCGGCCACCTGCTGTAATTCAATCACAAGACTTGTAAAACCTCACTTCCTCGTACATATGCGAAGTGGTAAAATGTGTAAGAAGGAAAATAGAAAAGAAGGCGCACTCATGTTTCCTATCCCTCCTCAGAGAAGCCGGGGGTAACAGGGGAACCGGGATGCCAGGCTGGACAACGTGCCTTCAGAGAATAAAGCCAGCGGAGGCGGTGGAGGAGGGTGCCAGGGGCCGGGCCCCTACATCCGCTCACAGTTCGGGAGATGAGCGACCTATGGGCTCATGCTCCATCGGACAGTTGCCCCCAAGGGGAGCAGGGGCACCTGGAGCGAGGCAGGAAGGTAGGGGAAAGAGCAGGCGGGAAAATGACCCGAGGACACCCCACCCCCCACTCCTGGGCCGACCGCACGACCGAGCACCCGGCGCAGCGGCGGCGCGTCTCCTCCCTGGGTTGGGGCGCTCACCCGTGGGCTCGCACTGCAGGTGGTCGTCCTCCAGCCTGTAGCCCGGAGCGCAGCGGCAGCGGCGCCCACCCTCCTTCTCCACGCAGTAATGCGCGCAGCCGCCGTTGTCCAGCGAGCAGTTGGAGAAACTCACCTCTGGGCGGGCAGGGGAGGGGGCGCCGGGAGGGCACGTTGGCGCGGCGCGCCCAGACCCCCTCCCACGCCAGGCCCCCTCCCTGCCCATATGCCCCAACCCCTCCGCGCCCGGAACCCTCTTCCCGCCCCGCTGGTCCCCTCCGCGTCCCCACCCCTCCCTCCGCACCCACCCCCCACCCCGCCCCACAGGGCCTCTCCCCTCCCCCACATACCCCCTCCGCGGCACCCCCAGCCCCTCGGGGGCCCCCTTCCCGCCCCCACATCCCCACTCGGCGCCCGGCTCCCTCACCGCCCCGCGAGCCCCCTCCCCATCCCCACCCTTCCTTCTGCACCCGCCCCCCACCCCTCCCCTCAGGGCCCCCTCCCCGCCCCCACACACCCCCTCCGCGCCCCCCCCCGCCCCGCGGGCCCCCTCCCCGTCCGCACCGTTCCCTCCGCAACCGTCCCCCACCCCGTCCCGCAGGGCCCCCTCCCCGCCCCCACACCACCACCTTCGCGGCCGGCCCTCTCACCGTGCTGGCAGAAACGGCCCTCCCATCCCGGGTCGCAGTCGCAGCGGAAGGCCCTGATGCCGTCGATGCAATTGCCGTGCCCGCAGCACGGGCTGTCGCACAGGTGCTCGGGCGGGGGGGCCGCGCACTGGTCCTCGTCTGCGACACGCCGAAGAGGTGTCACTGGTGCCGCCAGCCCGTCCCCGTCCCTACCGCGGCCCAAAGGACCCGAGGGGGCGCGGGCACAGCGGCCTGGGATCTAGATCGCACTCACCGGTGTACTTGGCCCAGAAGGCCAGCTGTGGAGAGAAGGGGCGGCATGAGCGGCCGTCAGCCCGTGTGCGCAGGGGGAGCCTGCGGGGCACCTCTCGGCTGCGGCCCAGGGCGGGCAGCGGCGGGGAAGGGCTGGTGGACAAACAGGAGTCCACCCCTGCTTGTCCTGCCAGCCGCCAGCCGCTGGGGCAGCTGCAGCCGGAGTAGGGCCACACTCTCCTCCCTGCCCCAGCCCCCTGACCCATCTCCACCCGCATCCCATGCACCCCACCCTACCCCCATCTCGGCTGGAAGCCTGCTCTCCGGACCGTCAGCTACCACAACAGCCTCTGTGGCGGCGGAAGGGACCCAGATCTCCCACCAGGTTGCTCAGCCTCGTGCCGGGCCCCCAGCACTCCTTTAGGCTTTTCTGGACCTCCCGTGTGTGTGGTCCTTCCCTAAGCCAGCTTCTCAAAGTTGAGACCTTGTGGGTTAGACGCTGATTGGATTTGGAAGGTCTGCGAGTCTAACCCAGCCCCCCTGTGGCTGATGGCCTGGGGCCACCACACCTGAGACCCACTGCTGGACGCCTGACCCAGTCTGTGCTCTGCGGGGCCTGGGAGACCTCAGGGTGAGGCGGGAGAGGGAGGTGATCTGCCCCAGTGCTGGCTGCAGAGAGTCCTTGGGGCGGCTGCTGAGGAGGCCGCTTGGGAAGTGGGATCTAGGCAAGGGGTGCAGTGGAAGGGGCAGACCAGAGCCCCCCTCAGCCTGGGAAGTCCCTACAGACAGCTCAGAAGGGGCCCCGGGGTGACAGTTCTTTGTCCTAGTAGCTTCAGCAGGCCCTTGGGAATGGGGGGGTCTGAGTCTTGTACCAGAGAGCCACCTCCCTTACCAATCCATGCTTCCACCTCAGGGCCCTGGGAGCCAGAGAGGACATGGTGTCTTCCTCAGATCCCCTGAGCAATGAGGTTTAGCCTCTTGAGAATTTGAGCTGAGGCTCGGAGGGAGTGTATGTGGGCAGACATCAGGGAGTCTTGGGTCACACACACCCCGCTCGGCAGGTGCGTGGCTGGAAGGAGACAAGGTGGCATTCTGGTCACAGAGAATAGGTGAAGCAGTAGTGGCCAGTGGTGGGCAGAGGGTGGGCTGAACTTCCTCCAGTGGGATTGTTGGGAATCCCAGCCTAAGGCTCCACCAGACTCCCTATTCTTGGAACTAATTGCAAAATTCTGTTCCTTGCAGTGACATGCGTCCTGACCAAGACCACAGGGCCAGTGTCCCTCTTCATTCTCCTCACACCCCTCTAGCAAGCTGGGGGAAGGGGAGAGGGCCTGAGCAGTGGGGGCCCCAGCCCCCATCCTCCTCCTCCAACCCCCCTCCCCCCTGCTGGCCACCGGTGGACCCATTGTCTTCACCCAGCCTTACTGTGTCTTCCACATTTTGGAAAATCTCCTGGGCCTCCTCCAAGTCACAGATCTCCTCCAGGCACTCCCGCTCCAGGCTGCCGGCCCGGAGCTCCTCCAGGAAGGTGTTGGCTCGCTTGCGGATCCGTAGCACCTGGTGGGCGCGCTCGCTGCTGGCGAACACTGAGTCTGGTTTGGGAGGAGGGGAGCCTGCTTTAGTGGAGGGGCCGCGCTGCGGGCAGCCCATGAAGCCGGGTGGGGGGGGGGCCTGAAATCCGCCCTGCTCCTCTGCCCTCCTCTTCCACAGTCAGCAGATGACCAGCCTTAGAGGACAGGACAGGAGACTTGGCCACCCATGTGCTGAGCCAACCTGAGCTCCATGTGACTTTGAGCTGGTGGCTTTGCCTCTCTAAACCTCAGCCTATTCATGCAAACATGAGGATGAGATACTGGTGACTAACAGCACAGTGCCTGACCCAGAAGTGATTGCCCAGTGCCCCTTGTCGGTTGGGTGCTGCTGTCATTACCAAGACTGCAAGGTTCAGCTGGTTGCGTTGTTCTGAGTACCCCTGTACAACCCTATCTCGCCACTCCCTCCTTCCCCAGCTTGACCTCCCCAGCCACTTCCCAGCCTTCCCCTCAGGCAGGCACAGCTGAAGGACAGAGACCTGGGAGCTCTGAGAGGTGTCTGTCAGACAAGGGACGGCTGGGACCGAGGGGCCAGGTCAGGGAAGTGAGGAAGAGAGGCTGGAGGGGCCGGTGCAAAGGCCAGGAGAGGAAGCCTCTGAGCTGAGTCTGGACAGAGGAGCCATGTGGACCCCCGGTGCGAGTGGGGCTCCCCAGCAGATAAGCAGCTCAAGAAGAGGCACAAATGCCAGCAGCAGCCGGTGTGCAGAATGCCACTGGCCGCCCACTCCCCCTCAGGCCTCAGATGGCACCCTGGTGTGGGGGCCAAGGGAGGGGTGGGGCAGGGCAGTCACTGTACAAGTCACTGCCTTGGACGGGAAAGCTGCCCTGCAGCCCTATGGGGTGGTGGCCAGGTCTGGCTCTGGTGGTTGAAGGAGTGGGTAGGTGGAGGGGAAAGGCCTGGGGACTCTATGGCCCACTCCCAGGCTGGAGGAAGGAGCTTCAGGACCTCAGGACATGACCCCCCTCAGGGCTAACTGCTGACACAGCTCCCCCCTCCCCCAGTCTCCACCCACCAGGGAGTGGGGGCAGCTGCTGGCCCAACAGCCTGTGAAGACCGGAGGGTCCCAGGGAGGGAGGAGAGTGGCCTTACCAGGAGAAGCTGGTGTGCCGGAAGTTCCCCAGATGGTCACCAACAGTAAGAGGCTCCCGAGCTGCCACATTCTGGAGTTGCTGGCACCTGTCTGAGGAGGACTCCTGAGCTTCCGGCAGCCCCACCTGCCCCCCACCTCTGCCTGCTGCCCCGGCCCTCTCATGGGCAAGGCTGCGGGGAGGGGGGGTCCCTATTCACTGGACAGACAGCCACTGGCACCTCAACGTCCTTGCCTGTGTGGGGCTGAGGTCACAGCATTTGCCCAGAGTCTGAGGGATGAAGAGGAAAGGAGGCAAGGGCATGGAGTCCTGGGGAAGTTCAAAGGTGACTCAGCACTAAAGGGCCACGGCAGCTGTGCTCAGAATGTTCGTGTCCTTCCTTGTCCTGTTCTTTGGTCAGGTTAGGGGGTGGTGCCTTTGCTGATCTGATGGCCAGGATTTACCGGACATTCAGGGTGTTTTTCTAGCAATCGGTGTGTGGTTCAGAAGGCAGGCCACCAAGTCAGACCACTTGGAGCAATCCCCGCTCCAGGGCAGCAATACCAGGCAGGTCACCTAACTCCTTGCCTTGGTTTCCTTGCTTGTAAAATGGCTAGAAAAGCTGTTATTTTCTGCCTTATTGGGATTATTGTGAGAATTAAATATAACGCTCTTAACACAGGGTTTCTACACAGCAAATGCTTAGTAAATGTCCGGTATCATTATCTCAGTTAGAACTCATCACCCCCTGGAGGGGGTAGTTATCACCCCATTTTATAGAAGGTCACATGGAAGCTTACTAAACACCCACAGCCAGGACACTGCAGAGCTAGGACCTGAGCCCAGGCCTGTGTGGCTCCAGGCCCAGGGTCCTAACCCCTGCCCCAAACTAGCGCTGCCCTACAAAGTCCCAGAAACCTAGGAGCGAGCAGTCCCCTGCCTCCAAGCCCCGGGGGGTAGGCCTGCTGCATCTGCACCCCGCCCCCCTACTCCGTCTGACCTTGCTTTCCATCTTCACTGACTCCCACTCCCCAGGCTTAGAGGTGGCAGGGTGGGGAGGACAGCTCCTGGGCTCCTGGGCTCCAAACTGCCTCTGATTATGTCCCTGATCCCTGGAGGCCTCAGGGTCCGGGGGGGAAGGCCCCTTGGAACTGTGGCACCCAGGCCTCAGGAAAGCCGGCGGCACCCTGGCCGGCCTGGTGACAGAGCCCTGATTTCCCGTTAGCCCGAGCTGTGGCCAGCTTCTCGAACCCTGGCTGGACACTTTGGCCTTCTAATCTGCCCATCCCTCCTCCGTCCCCCCTCACCAACCTGCCTCGAAGGGGACTTACTGGGGTAGGCCAGGGAGAGATTGCAAGGTCTCCGTCCTGCCGCCATGACAGTCTGGACCTCAAGTTAATCCATAACCGCAAATATTTGCTTGGCCCTCAGTGTGGAGGCTGCCCCCTCCACAGATAAACAAACAGGCTCCTGGCTCAGGATGGCCTGGTTTGCCCACAGCCCACCTTTGTCCAGCAATTGGTGCCAACCGGGAGGGCAGGAGCTGAAGGATGGGCACTGTCAAGCTGCCTATGGATGTAGCCTCACTTTGGCCTCACAGTGAAGGAGGGCCTTGTCCTTATGTTGCAGAAGGGGACATTTTTACCAGATACATTGCAGTTTCCCCCAGAGCAGCACAACTGTTAACGATTCCATATTTCACCAAATCTAGGATGCCATTAACTATAAGTTGCACCCATTTTATGTGCCAGCATGAAAGAAAAACCACACTGTCAATTACATAAATTACATAGTGATACACTATCCTGATTCTCATATGAAAAGGTGCACCTCTCCGGTCCCTTCTGTGTGAGTGCCGGGAGGTGGGGGGGGACACTTGGCTAGACCTTCAGCTCCAGTCACTCCTATAGCTGCCCCTGCAATGGCACATGGTTACTCTTGTAATCTCTCCTTTGCAGGTGAGGACACTCAGAAATCTCGTATTAATTGCCCAAATTCACCAAGCTGCTAGGTGGCAGGCCGATTGTAGACTCAGGTCTTCCTGGTACCTGTTGGGGCCGCTTTTGTAAACAAGTGAGAAAAACAGACCAGGTTCCAGAAAGGCTGCGAGGATGCTGGGAAAGAGCCTTGGCACCGGCCCTTCAATCCATCAACATCAGTTGATAGAACATGCCCTTCAGTCCAGGCATCTTGCTTCCCTGTACACACCGTATGGGACATGCACCCACTTCTCCCACACCCAACCTGCTCCCAGAACACTTGACCATATCCCTCAAAGCTGGACCCCTCGCAGGGTCATGTGATCCTGCCCTGCTGACCTCTGGGACCATGCAGGAAAGTCACCTGACCCAGGGGTCAGTCTGATTCTCCACCGCAGCCCAGGAGTAGGACCTCAGGGCCCTCGCTCCGCTGTGAGCACTGCCCTGGACATGCGTGTTTGGGCCTGAAGCAGAGGAAACACATGTGGATTAGGGAGAGAGGCTGAGACAGGAGGCGTTAGACCCTCAGAGTCCAAGGGATCAGCAGGGCAAGGCCCCTACCTCCAGAGTGGGCACATCCTGCCTTTGGGCTCATGAGGCTCCCCTGCCCTCCTAGGAAAATCCCCTCTTTCCTTAACTTCCCTCACATTGACTGGGAGGCAATCCTACAACCGGATGCCTCCCAGGCCAGGGCGGCTCCAGGCCTGGGCTGTGGGGCTCCAGGCCCTCGTGCTGCCCACACAGCCACGTGAGAAGGCAAGAGGAGCAGGGCCAGGGGAAATCAGCACAAGCTGAGATGGCCAGGGAAGGCTGCCTGGAGGAGGTGGAGCTTCAGCTGGAGGTCACAGGGCAAGCCAGACCTAGTAATAGAGGAAGTGCCCTCAGGAGGAGAGAGAGGGGAGGGAGGGGGGGCAAGGAGACAAACAGCAGGGGAGGCATTGGCATGGGGAGGGACGGGAGGGGGAGAAGAAGGTAATAGAGTTTGGAATGGTGCCTGTGGGAAGTAGGGAGCCAGTAGCCATTTGCAAGGGTGTGTGGCAGCTGCCTGGAGAAGGGGACACATGGTCCTCAGAACTCAGGCAGGAAGCAGGGAGGCCATGTGCTTGGCCACACGAGAAAGACAGCTAGTGCAGCCGGGGAGCTTGGGACATGCCTCCTGCGCCTACATTCTAGCTCTGGGTGTCCTCCCTTCCAGGTCTGCTGCTGTTCCAGGCTTGCCCCTCCTCCACTCCACTTCCTGCTGCCCTCTTCACCTCCCCCTTGCTCGCGCAAGGCATAGTGAGTGCTCACTGGGACTCCCCACTCCTTCCCTCTCCACCAAACCCCTCACCTGCCATGTGTCCCCTAGCCAGCGCAGATGGTCATTTCCATGTGAAGTCTATATCGGGTGCCCACACTGATCCTGAAGGTGGTAAGGGTCTCTGCCTGAGGTACTCACACCCGAACCAGCCCAGAGGCCCAAAGCCCTGGCACCCAGAAGAGCCTGTGGGAGAAGTGACTGATGCCAGGATCTGCCAAGGCCTTGAAGGCTGCCCAGAGAAGGACAGGAGGGTTCCTTTCTTCATGCTCATCCGCCTGCTGGGGCACCGTGGTGGGGATGCCTGCATCACGGTCTCCTTGTTGGCTGGCAGAGCAGGCGACCCAGGTGACCTCCCTGAAGGAGGGGGCGTCCCCACCACCAGCTAGTCCCTGAGTTGTGCTGGCTGAAAGGCTGCCATCGCTTGGAGAGTGCTGCCAGGAAGCCAGGGGTCTGTGCTCCCAGAAACCAGTCCCCAGGGCGGATCCAGGCTGCTGTTCCAAGGGGCCCCTTGCCTAGCCTGGTGGGCACCGCCAATTTGCCTTGTCTGACACTGGCATTTTCCTTCCCAGATGTGAGTCACCCCTGTTGATTCCAGAGCGTCACAGCCAGCTGTGAATCAGAGAGAGGAAGGACCTTTGTGTGCAGGGAATTCGCTGCATGCATGAGGACACACACAGAGGAGTAAGAAGCAGACGTGTGTGTAAGGGGACAAAAGCCAAAACCATGAGATGGCATTGAGCGTGCTCATCTTTGGGGTCAGGCTCACGCGGGTTTAAACTTCATCTTGGTTCCATCCCTCAGCCTCAGTTTCCAGGTCTGTGAAATGAGGCCAAGAACAGTGTGCACCTCAGGGGGTTGTTAGGAGGGTAAATTAAGTATTTCCTGCGAGGTGGGCAGAGACTGTGGTGATCAAATCAACAACAACGTCCTCACTTGGCTTCCCCGGGTCCTAGAGAGAAAGCAAGGTGCCACATGAAGCTTCATGAGGATCAGAGCCCCAGAGGACATGGGTGTCCCCTTTTATGCATGGCGGCGAAGGTGTGGAGCAGGTGGGGCAGGAGAGGCAGGACAGGGAGAGGTCAGGACAGCTGCCACCTTTGTGGCACAGCCACCGGCTCAGAGCATTCGGAGATGCCGGTCCCCAGGGGCTGGAGTGTCCTCCTACCTAGCACTGGCTCTGACCCTCTGCATGGGTGGCAGAACCCACCCTGAGCCACCTCTCCTGACCAGAGGGGCGGGATGGAGGGCTCCCAGGACTGTTGCTGGCCCTTCTCCCTCCCCCTCCCACCCTGTGTCTTGTCCCTTCCCTCTGGCAGGAAAGCCCTGGAGCCGCTCAGGGCTCAGCCTGGGTAGGGAGGGGAAGACAGCACCGGGACAGGCCCTGGGGAGCATCCCATTACATGGAGATGGATATATGCAGCCTGGTGCCAACAGCACAAAGACACACACGGATTCTTTAAAAAAAGAAAAAAGGTTTGAGGAATAATTTACATGCAATAAAGTTCACTTTTTATAAAATTTTTTAAATTTTTATTTATTTTTGAGAGAGAGAGAGAGAAAGAGAGAGATAGAGAGAGACAGTGTGAGTGGGAAAGGGGCAGACACAGAATCCGAAGCAGCCTCCAGGCTCTGAGCTGTCAGCACAGAGCTCAAGGCAGGGCTCAAACTCATGGTGTGGGAGATCCTGATCTGAGCCAAAGTTGGACATTTAACCAATGGAGCCACCCAGGTGCCCCAAAATTTGCTTTTTAAATGTACCTTTCTGTTTGTTTTTAAAAGTCAAGTATATGGCTCTTTTTTAAAATGCTTTTATTTTTGAGAGCAAGAGAGAGAGAGAAAGAGACAGTGCATGAGTGGGAAGAGGCAAAGAAAGATGGAGAAACAGAATCTGAAGCAGGCTCCAGGCTCCAAGCTGTCAATGCACAGAGCCCAATGTGCTCGAACTCATGAACTGGGAGATCATGACCTGAGCCAAAGTCAGAGGCATAACCGACTGAGCCACCCAGGCGCCTCCCTCTAACCCCTGTCCCCCAGCCCTGTTCTGTTTGTTTTGACAAATGTATGTAACAGTGTAACCACCACCACAATTATGATATGGGACATTTCTGTCACCCTGAAAATTCCCCTGTGCCCCACCACCAGCCTCTGGCTACCATTGATGGAGTTTCTGTTGCTTTTCCTAGAATGGCATATAAATGGAGTCCTACAGTACATAGCCTTTTATGACTGGCTTCTATCACTCAACATAAAATAAAGCTTTTGAGATTCCTCCATGTGGATATGTGTATCTGTAGTTTCTATAGCTCAGAAGTTTCCATTATATGGATATACCACAGCTGGTTACCCGTTCCCCACTTCTTGGCTATTATTAAATAAAACTTCTAGAACATTCGTGTAGAGGACTTAGTGTGGATATGTTTTCATTTTTCTTGGGCGAATATGTATAAATGGGACTGCTGAGTTTCGTGGTAGGCACATGTTTACTTTCATTAAAAACAAAAACAGGGGCACCTGAGTGGCTCAGTTGGTAAAGCGTCTGACTCCTGATTTCTGCTCAGGTCAGGATCTCATAATTCATGAGTTTGAGCCCTGTGTTGGGCTCCACAGAGTCTACTTGGGATTCTCTTTCTCCCTCTCTCTGCCCCTCCCTCCCATCTCTCTCAAGAATAAGTAAATAAGTTTAAAAAATACTGTTCGGTAAAGAGGCCATAATGTTTTGCGTTCCCACAAGCAAAATATGAGTGTCCCGGTGTTCTGCATCCTTCCCAGTGCTTACTGTGGTCAGTTTTTTGGTTTTATTTTGTTATTTTTAGCTATTCTAATAGGTGTGTGGTAGTATCTTATTTTATTTCCCCTATCCCTAATGATGGTAAGCATTAAAAAAATGTTTAAATGCTTGCTGGGATTTTGAATGGATTGAATTAATTCTATAGAATGATCTGGGGAGAAGATTCACCTTAACAATGGTTTTCTGATCTATTAGCGTGGTATTTGTCCCCATTTACTTAGGTCTTTATTAATTTCTCTCACCAATGTTTGGTAGCTTTTAGCATATAGATCTTGAACATATTTTGTTTAATTTTTCCTACTTATTTTATG